CTCATGGGAATTCAAAAACATGACACTTTATGTTTTTGCCCACCTATAAAAAAGAGAAGTTGAACTGTGTGATTTCTGAAGTTCATTATCTTTCTGAATTTCTGTAATTAAAAGGATGAGGGCCTTGTTAGCAATCAATAAAGTAGAGGAATGATGTATGTGTTATAGAGTAGGAAAAAAATATTCACACTAAGAGAAAAGAATGCCATGTCACTTATCTAGGGCATTAAGGTGTAATTTACAGAAAAACATTTCAGAGAAATAGAAATAGAAAAATCTAAAATTTGCTACATATTCACTAACTCAAAGCTACATTGAATGAATTATAAAAAGGTAAGGCAATATATTTTTTTCCTCAGTTGTCTAGGCTGGGGAACCTAACTTGACATATCTCAAAGGCATTTGGTTGATTTGAAGCACAATGACAGTTGGATTTACTGCATACTCACTTTAATTAGGATGGAAGACAGCTACTGATGTTCAACTTTTTAAAACCACGAAGTTAGAAGCATGGATTTATTAACTGATACTTCTAGCATAACACTCATGCAAATTTGAACGGGATAAAGAAAATGCCATAGTCTGTCTCTGAAAATGGTCAAATGAGTTCTTACAAAGGGTCTCTCCTAAGAGGAATTTTTAAAAGATACCAAAAAAAAAAAAAGGATAGCATTGTTAGAGCTGGACACACTTGTTTGCAATAGAGAGAACCATGTATTCTTTTTATTTCTGAAAACATACCACAGTATCCATGCAGACAGCAATGGGCATTTCCAGGAAAGTACCCTACTGCTGGATTCAATAGAAAAATTTCACTGATTTCTCAATCATATATTTTAAGTTGAACTAGGCCTTATAAGATGAATAGGTCAAATGGAAGAGTTTGAAGAAAATAACCTTTCAAAATAAAAGAAATAGCAAGATCACAGATAAAATTATTAGATATTGCTTGAAGTGATTCCTTGGTTGAAAGCTAGCCTGAGGGGTCAGCAAGTGCCCAGATCATATTTGGGCTTTATTAAAACAACTCTGGGAACAGACAGGAGGATGCAAGGTAAAAATAGGAAACAAGAGCACAACTTGTAGATGATTAAAATAGCCTAGATGAGAAAAATACTGAATCAGGAAATGAAGAGAACAGGACAGATGGAGAAAACATTTCATAGATATCACCAATTCTATTCAGTATCTAAGTAAGTATGGAAGGAAGAAAATAGAAGTCGAAGATGACTTTCACATTTCTGCCTTAAACAATTGTAGGTCATTAACCAAATCAGAGAAAATAACATAAATTAAGATTTTCCAGGTAATAACTTTTGTTTTGATATGCTACAATTGAGGTTTGTGTGGGCCATCACAGTGGAAGAGGCTACTAGGCACTTAGGAATATAGACATGATATCCAGGCAGTGTGTGAAGACTTTAGATAATAGATTTGGGGGTCATTAGCAGATAGGTGGTAGTTGAAGCCATAAACATAAATTTGGTTGTTCAAGGAGATTATAAAGTAAAAAGAAAAAAAGACTGAAAAAGGAAAATTGAAAGAACTAGTATTGGGGGGAATAAGGAGTAAGAAAAATCAACAAAAGAAATAAGAGATAAATAATAGGCAGCTAGAGAAGCAATGAAATAAAAGCTTGAGAAATAGAGTAAATAACAGTGAATAAATGAAGACTGAATAAGATAAATAAGATCCTTGCAATTAAGAGGTCATTGGTGACCTATATGGGAACATTTTAATGGTGCATCCAGAGCAGAAGTCACATTGCAGTGGATTAATGAATGTTTAAGAGATAAGGATGTGAAGTCATCAAGTTTGATACTATGTTGTGAGCAGTTTGAAGGTCAAGAGAAAGGAAGATATTAGCTAGATGTCAATGAGAAGGTAGTTCCAAATAAGTATGGCTTTTCTTTCATTTTTTTTTCTTTCATTATTTTTCTTTTTAATTTTATTGCAAATGTTATTTGAGCATATTTATAGAATAGCATAATAAAATTAGTAACAGAGGGATTGAGAAGATAATTGATAAGAGATAATTGATGGAACAAAGTCCAAAAGAAAGTACTGAGAGCTCTAGCAGAAGAGCATTTGTTTTTTGTAAATGAGGTTCTTTTTCAAAGAAATAGTGATGAAATTTGCATTTATTAAATGATTTAACATAAAAATATTAAAAAGTATGTGAAAGCCACCACCAGACTAATAAGCAAATTTTGGATTCTGGGGAGATAAAGGCTAGGAAGTGGCCCTTCCTGATCTATACTTTTTTAAACAAGCAATCATTGATGAGCTGAACACAAGGAAAGATGGCCTAGGAAAGAAAGGTAATGAGATAGTGATAAACACTGTGGAGAAGAAATAAAATTCACACTAAAAATTTAGTTTTAATTTCTTCCATGTAATTTTTTTCAAGAGTTCATAGTGAGCTATCTGAAGAGTTTAAATGCCACTTTGCAGCCCACTGGTTTGAGAATCAGTTTAACAATTGCTGTTATAAAAGGGTGAAATAACACATATTCTCTTTAGATCCAAGGGAAATCATCTGTGCTGGAAAAGAAACAAACTTGCAGAGTGGATGTGGTAACCATATTTTCTGAACCAAAAAATATCAGAACATAATCTGACATGATGTGGTAATTAGATAATTATTTATAAATTAGACATATATTTACAAATTAGACAAATATTTAAAATCAAAATTAACTTAAAAACTCCAGGTTGTACACTTGCTAAGGAATGAAAGATTTCAAAAGCAAAAATATCCTATTCATAGTCAATGCAAGGTATCAGTCCAAGAAGAAGCACCATTCTGGATATCAGAACTGCTCCTGTGAGGGAATCTTTTATGCTTCTGTCTGTCCTCATCTCCTACCTCAAACATTTGGTAAATGCCTATGCATGGGCACAGACATTCATGATAGAAAAGTAAGATAAAGTTCTGTGGAAAAGATTTGTTGGAGAGCAATTTGAAGAAAGCACTGCACACACAGTAATAGCAAAAAACATTGATGCATAGGCTAGAGCTATTGACTGCCTGGGGCAAGCAACATTTGGGCAAAGATTTGCAAAAGGACATGAGTGAATTGTCTTCTAAAGGAAAAGGAAAAGTGAACCTTAAGGAAAAGAACTTAAAAATATCTTGTTTACTTGCTATCTTTCCCAGACAAGTTATTTATATTACCACAGCTCAATGGCATAAAATATCTCAATAGTATAAAACCTCAGTTAATACTTGTGTGTAACTATGGTTTATTCTTATCATTTAAACTGTGCTTTTCCAGCCTAGATTTTAGAATCCCCAGAACCCTTCATAGACTGTTGTTTTAAATTCAGACTTTGACTCAGTATCCTTAAATTTTTATCAAGCATCTTCCTCTTTACACAAAACCTGTATTTATTTATTTAGTCACCCAGTCAATTAAGGTGTTCAGGTACATATGCTAATTTTGTTTCTAATTTAGAATAAATTTATTAACTGTAACTTTTGAATGTTTGAATTTTTTCTGTTCTTTTCTCCTCTCTTTTTTCTATTTGCTTTTAACAATTACTCTAGATAACAGGTCCAAAAATAATTCAAGTTAATTTTGATGTTACTACATATACAACTAGGCTAAGTTTTAAACCTTTATGGTAAAAAATTAGGCTGTCTTTTACCTTTACAAAATAGCCAATTTTAAAAATATGCTATTGGTAATTTAAGCAAAGGCTCACTCTTTTAATCTTAGCACTTTGGAAGGTCAGGAGCTTAGGTCCGGCCTGGTTCAACATAGTGAGCCCCTGTCTCTACAAACAAACAAACAAACAAACAAACAAAAAATTAGGCAATGAACTCTCAAATTCCAATCTATTACTTCTTAAAGCTTAAGAAAATTTTTAGAAGTAAGGAAAATTCCCTCAATTTGGATCCATAAAGTAAAGCAGAAGAACTCAAGAACTAATAATTTTTCTGCCTAAAGAGACTGTTTTAGAACTAGGTGAGTATAATAAATTTCTCTGCTTGATACTTCTATTATTTTTTGGACAACCAGCTTACAAAAACACAGTAAACAAACAGGATGAAATTTTCTAAAATGCTTGGTAAAGTATGTGTTGAATCTTCACTTTAAATATAAAATCTATTAACTGCCAAGTTCATAAATTGGTGTGTCTATTTGTTTGTGTTTATTTATAGTACAAGCTATTTTGTAATATTAACATTATTTTAATAACAAACAAGAAAAAAAGAAAAGTTGGCTTATGAAGTTTGCACTGTAAGAACAAGCATTAAAAATATTCTATCTTGATCTAATTATTTTTCTTTTGCCCTCAAATATTCTCCCTGCTTAGTCCTGGCCTATAAATAATTGAGTGTTGAAGAAAAAACATAAAAATAAAACATTAAACTTTAAATCTTGAACTTTGAGTTATAAATTGACATCCAGGAAGAGAAGTCAGGTCTATCATCTCCAGAGAGGCATGGGAATTCTTGGATAACTTATCTTATTACTTTTAATTCAAAAGTTGGGAAAATATGAAAATACCCTCAAGTAAGACACAACACAGTACTCAAAAGTTAATTTTGAATTGAATTTTTATTTTTAGTGGGCCTATTTATTTAAAGGAATATTAAACATTGAAATATATTTTGAAGCAATACATACATTCAGCTAGTGTAGAACATGTTAGGCTTCCTAATTTATGAAATTATCATGTTCTGGAAGATGATTTTATCATGTCTTACATCCCATTGCTATAACCAACTAAGGCTTTGCTATCTTGCTCTTATCTGTATGCATGTCTTGCACTTCAATAAATTTTTTCATATGTAAGACCCTCCAGGTTTTCTTACAGTTTCATAAAGGTTTGCATTTGATTTCAATGACAAAACAGAAAAAGAAAAAAGGAGGCAGAAAGTATATGTGTTGTTTGAAGTTATCCTGAAACAATCAAAATGTTTATTAAAAAATAACAAGAGCATGGTTTCTCAGAATTCCAAAGTAATGTTGTTTATGGTCTCTCTGCAGCTAGATCCTGAAGCTAGTACTGTTCTAAAAGAACTTCAGGTTAAACTCAGTGGGGTTCTGGATGAGCTCAGTGTCACTTATGGTGAAAGGTAAGTGACCTTTAGTCATTATCTAATTGTGTTAGGTTTCAGTTTATAATATTCTAGCTTTCAATTCTGTTTCTCTCCTCTAACTAAATCCATTTAGTTTCAATCAATCTAAGCATCATTTTCTCTGAAAAGTCTTTTATGACCCCACAATCAAATGCCTCCCTATACACTCCCCAGAACTCTGCATAGCCTTCAAATGGGTAGCATTTACACCATTGTGCTCTAAGTTTTGTTTACCTGTTTCTCCCACTTTTCTATATGGTCATTAAGGACAGAAACTATATCTCATAGCTGTTTGCAATTCTAGTATTTAGAACTTAACAATTGGATACTGAAAAAAATACAGAGAAGGAAAGATAAAAACTTTACATACGTAAGAAGTATGAGTTGTATATCATATACATTAGTGTAGTTGTACTTCAGAATAACTGAACCCCCAACACTATGCCAAATAAGTCAGGATACTTGGTTTTAGGGCTTAGTAATCTGAATGCAACTACCTCATGTTTGGAAACTACTGACATGTATATATTTTTGTCTGCTTTTTAAAAAAAATCAACTTTGCTTATCTGTGGTGTGGTTCTAAAGAAAGAGAAGTTTACCCTACATAAATTTATTTTTGATCATTTAGGCAAAAGCCATCATCTCATTATCAAATATTAAAATAGATAAGAAAGTAAATACATCTTGGGAGAGGTTCATTAATTTAATATAGAATTTGCTTTAAATATTAGTTCAATAAATGTTGATATATTATTATAAACTCTGTGTTCAGTTCTCAAATGAGACTATAAAGATTGCTTTTATGATGTGGTTATCTCTTTGACCACCATGTATCACCTATTGTTGTATTTTAAAAAGACACACAATTAACAAACAATTATTGATTAGTTATGCCATTTTTTTAAACCAGAAAAACTAAAAAATAAGACCGAAAGAATAGCATTTCTTTTCTCAGATATGGGAATGTAGCTGAGTAAAGAAAAGTCCTATACTCAACCTTCTTTTCATTATCAGAAGTGTGTCCATAACTTCCTTCTGCCAAGTGGCATTATCTTCGTGGAGTTTACCTTCACATCTCAGGGCAGTCACCCTGTCTCTGTTCTGTGTTGTTAGCAGAGCTGGAGGATTCTGCCTACTTGGTCTGGATGTTAACCAGCAATTTGAAGTTTCTGTTTAACCTGCAATCAGAGAGGCAGAGATAGTTCCAGCACTCATTGGCGCTGACTGGGGTGACTCTTAAGCAACGGTGCCTTTGCTCAGCCATTTTAGTCTTGCCTTTCTTTGTTCTCGTTGTGAATTAACATGACATTAACATGACATTAGCAGAAAGGCTGTTGCCTTCAGCTAAGGAGGCAAAATTAGAGATTATTTAGTAAAATTGAAGGCAGGGGAGGAGTTGTGAATAGCTAGAGATGTTCAGAACTTTATGGGAAATAAGATGACTAAGCAGAACAGAAACTAGAATATAAGTAGAAAAAGTATGTATAAATTAATCTCTGTAAAATATCCAAATCATTCTGGTAAACAAGTGCCTTTTTTTTTTGAGAAGGAGGGGATATTCAGGTTACAAAGGATAGAAATATAAATTCTGATTTGAAAAAGTCTGGATAAACTTTAGTTATGAAAGAAAGAGTGATGCCCTTAGAAGTGCTTTATTTATATGAAGTCAGCTATTTTAGTCTAGATATTGAAACCCTTAGCTACCCAGAATTCATTCCTTATTTATTAAATATAGGAAGTAGCTTAGTACTTTGTTCAACTAGGGTTATTAGGATTGGAATAAATAGACCACATGTCATGCTTTTCTTATAAAAAGAGTAATTATTACAGCCCTGTTGCTATGGCTTTATTCCCCACACTACCAATCAGGTCTATATCATACTCTCAGGGTGGGTGAAGAGTCCACAATGCTCAGTGTGATCAAACTGTGATGTTAAACTGGATTTTAGTCTGAACCCACCACCCATTTTAGGGTCTAAATTAGCCATCTAGAGCTTTAGAATTAATTGCATAATTAACTGCCAAAAATTCTTATGTTATTAAAACCACAATTAAATAATTTTACTATATGCAGCTGTTAGGATGTCTTTAGTGAAACCAGGACTGAGCTAAACCACACATTTGAAGTCTAGGTTCCTGGGTTCCTGACAGGCTCATGGGGCACCCAACTGGGAACTGAGGTTAAGCAATATCACTTCTGTGATATCTTAAAGATGTTCTTAAAGATAGTCTTAACATTTAAAAAACTTGCGCCACTTAGGCTTCTTCTTGCACACATTTTGCAGTTTGGTTTTTGTTTTACTACGTTTCTTTTACTGATACCTTTAGTTCCAGAGGCTGACTGAATTACATAAATAAGTAATTTGGGAATATTTTGTAGGAACTCTTCTGCTAGTGTTTGGCATCTTGGGTACTCAAATGTCTGTCATGACTTATTGGCACTACTTTTATTCAAACTGAATAATAAACACTTGTAAACAAAATAAATAGGCCCCCCCAAAATTTTTAGATTAATTTACCAAAAACTGATAGAGACAAAGGTTTTTTAGGTGAGGTACAGGTGTTGGTTTACCCTGAATCAATCCAAAAGTCAAATGCTGTTATCCATTATACAATGAGAACCTTTCCTCCATATGCCTGATCCCATATGCAGAACTGGCTTCTGATAGGAATTTACAGTGTGAGTCTGTTTCAGAACCTACCTTTCACATAGTTGAAACATAAATGTCATACCTTCTGTTCAGTCTATTCCCTTTCCCTAATGTCCTGATTTGAAAATCAGTGAAAAAGAAAATAGCTATTTAAAGGTGGTTATTTCTAAGCCATAGGGATCACTGATGACCCGATGGTAAATCAACAGGGTTCAAAATTTTCAACATTATTTAACTTAAAACAAATACCCCTCTTCATTATCATTCCAGTGATTTGACCATTTTCCAAGCTATCATTTATCTCCATTTTTCTAAGCTGTTTTTTTCTTGTCTGCTTGCACAAGTATTGTAATTGCTCCTACTGTTGGGAACATTAAAGTAGGAGGCAATATAGAAGAATGGTGGTGATTCTAAGCATCTCCACTTTTTAAATCTCTTACTACTTGATACTGCTTGGGTAAGAAACACCAGAACTGATACAGGGGATACTGTATAGAGAATGAAAAACCAAAAACAAAGGATTACTCTTCATAGACTTATTTAAATCCTTAGAGTAGATAAGGCAATAGAGGTGAGTGGAAGGAGATCGTTTATTGATAAACAAACCAGTATTTCTTTTTTGAATAGCCTTATTGATATATTATTGACATACAAAAATTATATATATTTAAGGTTTACAACATGATGTTTTATATACATATACTTTATGATATTACAGATTTGCCATTGTGTGTGTGTCTTGAGAAGATTTATTGTAAGCTCTATTATTTAGCAAATTTCAAGTATACAAAACATCATTTGTATCTGTTGTGCCAATATTTCTTGAGCAACCATTTTATGCCAGGTATGAAAACTTGTGTCATGGTGTGGGCATGTAGCAATGGACAAAACGAAGTCCCTGGTCTCTCGTGGAACTGCGTTCCAGTAGGGCAGCAAGCAATAAAAAAACCTAAAACTATGCAATTTCTCAAGTAATGAGGAGTGCAATTAATTAAAAAATAAAGAACAGTAAGGGAATGGAGAATGGTGGCAATATCATTTCAACTTGAATTTTCAAGTAAGATTTCTCTGAGGTGATATTTTATATAAGAGAGGACCCCCCCCCCCAAGACTATAGTTATCTTTTGGAGGGCAGTTCCCTTGTAGTACAGGTTTTCCCTTCTAGGTAAGTATTCTAGGATCCCATTGGCATTAGTGTACCAGCTAGTGTTGTGAGAGGCTGCATTCAGCTTCAATAACTTCTTTTTTTTTGGAGATTCTTTTAGTGCATTTGCCCATTTCGTGTTATGTGCAACTGCCCACACCACGCTGAGTGTTCAGCAGTTTTTAATCAAAATAGCATGACCCCCGTGCCCCAACCCTCCCATTCACCTGCTTTCTCCCTGAGCATCTTTTTTTGTTTGTTTCCCTGGATGAAAAGTGTCCTCAAAGGAAAATGTTTTGCCAATGTGGAAGGGGTGAAACAAAAAAATGGTAGAGGCACTAAAAGGTTTCAAAATTGACAAGTTTAAAAACTGTTTTGAGCAGTGAAAAAAGCATCTTGTTAGGTGTATTGCATCAAAGAGTACTTTAAAGGTGACTGAAGTATAAACATCTAAGAATAAATACACAACATTTTATGAATAAATTCTAGGACTTTTTTTGTCCCCCCTCATGTGCCTGAAATAAATGAGGGACCTAGATAACCATGAGGATTTTCCTAGCAGAGAGATCATCATTGTGCCTATGAGACGCTAGTGTCCTCGGAGGCTTCTAAGAACACCAGGAGGGCTATTGTAGCTGAACTGCAACGGAACAGAGAGAAGAGTGGCAAGAAATGGGATCAGTGAGGTCGCCAACACCAGATGATGTTGGACTTCACAGTCCATAAAATACATTTAGATTTTTTTCTAAGGAGATTTGGAAGCTATTAAAAATATTAAGCAACGGGAAAGTATGATCTATTTGTTTTGTTTTTGTTTTTTTTAATTTTAAGAGGATATCTGCAGAGTGCTAAACAGAAAAACTATTTGGGAAATGTTTACACAAGTTCAGGTGAAGGATAGTGGGTTGATCTACAGTGGCAATTTTAGAAGTAATAGTAAGTCCTCAGATTTAGGATACGTTTGGCTGATGGGCTGGATGTTGAATATAAGAAACTTATTTGACTTTAGTGGAAAAGTGACATGGGCAGCTGAATAAATATTCCAAAGTTTGGGTTAGAAGTCAGGTCTGCAGATGTAAATTTGGGAACACCAGTATATTGAAAGTATGGAATCCATGGACTAGATGTGATTGCCAATGAAGTGAAGTGGTCCAAATTGAGTCCAGAGACTAACAGTGTACGCTTGCTAGATAGAATACAGGATGCCCCAATTAAATTTGAATTTTAAATGCAATAATAATTTTAGTATAAATTTGTCCCAAATGTTACATGGACATACTTATACTAAAAATATTTACTATCCTAAGTTTACATTTAAATAGGTTTCCAGTGTTTTTATTTGATAAATATAGCAACCCAACTCCAATAGTCAGGCAATTGAGAAGGTGCAGCCAGTGAGGTTAGAGGAATACTAAAAGGGTGTAGAGTAACAGAAACCAAGTATCGAAGGTGTATCCAGATGCCAGTAGACTTTCTAGAGCAGTCATCTTTCCAAAAAATGCTCAGAGAAGCATCTTGGCTGTGACTGTCAGAGGCGGGGACTGAATGAACTCCCACTCAAATTAATTCAACCTGAAAAGCAGTACTTTTACCTGCTTCACACATAAGAGTTCCAAACATAGCAACAAAAAATTTTCAGTTGAACAATAAAATACCCACCATTGGAAGCAGATCAAACTCTTAAGGTAAAATTAAAACAGACTCAGGCAAAATGCAATTTTTATTCTAGAATTTATATTCTTTATTTTTAGTTTCCAGCTTATAATTGAAGAGTGTATAAAACAAATGAATTTTGAACTAAATCAAATGAGAGCAAATGGAAATACCACATCTAATAAGAACAGTGCAGCAATGGATGCAGAAATCGTGTTAAGACCTCTCATGGATTTTTTGGACAAAACGTAAGTTTTTTACCCATTTTTCTCTTTACTTATTGCCCTAACTTGACTCATAAGGTTTAAGAAAAATATTATTTTCCTCTTTGTAAGATAGCTTTAAAAGGACTAATATAGAAATAAATGAATTCATTAAAAGCAACACACTTTAAATTCGTCACTAGATGAAAAAAAAGTCAGGAATGACTTTGTACAGGAAAGGAAAAAATGAGAGGCAGTACATTTTAGTAACTAAGGAGGCAGCTGTTCTGAGGCAGAGAGAGATTTAGGATTTTATGCTTCTCAGATAACATATTGTTTTGAATCCTCCTGGACATAGAGAAAGACTGAGCTGAGTCCAAAATATCTGATTTCGTGTCAGAAACCTGCTGAAGAAGAGAATAGCATAAATGTGACTAGAACTAATTAAGCTCAGAGGCAAGCAGGTAGCTGCCTGACTCAACGTTCAGTAGCTATTTCTTGAGTTCCCATCTGTATCAAACCCCTTTCTACACATTTGACAGTGATAAAAAAAGAAAGGTAAAACCTCTGACAATATGGAGATCACAGTCTTGTAGTGGTGGTAATAGGTAGGAATGAAGGCCACTGTGACTAAGTGTTTTTATTGTTTTGTTTTGGGGCTTTTGTTAATATAGTGGTTTTGTTTATTTTATTTATTTTTATTTTATTTTAGAGTTGTGGGGTGCATGTGAGGATTTACTATATAAGTAAATTTCATGAGGTGAGGTTTGGGCTTCTAGCAGGTCCTTTCTCCCCCTGAGAATAGATCTGGTACCCAACATGTTGCTGCATGCTCCTTATACCTTTTCCCTACCTCCCTTCTTTACAGAATCCAGCATTTGTTGTTCCCACCTTTGTGCTCATGTGCCCAGTGATCAGGGCCTGCTTATGAGTGAGAACATGTGGTATTCAGTTTTTTGTTTTTGTGATAGTTCACTTAGTATTATGATCTCCAGCTGCATCCATGTTGCTGAAAAATATGTGATTTTGTTCTTTATGGCTGCATAATAGTCCATCATGTACATGTACCATATTTTCTTTATCCAGTCCACTTTAAAATTTTTTTTTAATTTTGAATATGTGGGGTACAATTCAGGGTTAGGTATACAAATGTGCATTATGCAGCTACCCTTGTTGATGAGGTGTGCCAACTCCCCCTCCCCAGCAGTTTCCCACTACTGTCGATCCTTTTCTTAAAGTATTAAAATAGTTGATCAAGGTTCGCTTATGAGTGAGAACATGTGATACTTGGTTCTTTGTTTCTGTGATAGATTACTCAGTATTATAGATTCTAAGTCCATCCAAGTTGCTACAAAGTTCATAAATTTGTCCTTCTTTATGGCTGCATAATATTCTGTCGTGTATATGTACATTTTTTTTAATCCAGTCCTCTTCCAATGAGCAGCATGGTTGGTTCCATGTTTTTGCTGTTGTGAATAATGCTGCAATAAACATGCATGTGCAGGTATCTTTTCCATAGAGTGATTTGAGTTCCTCCCTGTATATTCCCAGTTGGGGGATTGTGGGGTCATATGAAAGGTCAATTTTTAGATCTTTTAGGAATTGCCACACTGTTTTCCACAGACGCTTTGTAGAAATGTTCCCTTTTTGCTGCATCTTCTCCAACATCTGTTGTTTTTTGAGTTATTGATGGCCATCCTGACTGAAGTTAGGTTATTCAGTCCACTTTTAATGGGCATCTGGGTTGGTTCCATGTTTTTGCTATTGTGAATAATACTGTGATATGTGTGCCAGTGTCCTTTTGGTGGAGGAATTTATGTTCCTCAGGGTATATTCCCAGAAGTGGGATTGCTGGATTGTATGGTAGCTCAATTTTTAGTTCTTTGAAGAAATGCCACACTGCTTTCCACAGAAGTTGAACTAGCTTACATTCCCACCAACCGTGTAGAAACATTTCATTTTTTCTGTAGCCATGACATTTTTTTTTTACTTTTTAATGATAGCCATCCTTACTGGTGTTAGGTGGTATCTTGTTACAGTTTTGATTTGCATCTCTCTGATGATTGGTGAGGCTGAGCATTTTTTAATGTTTATTGGCTGCTTGAATGTCTTCCTTTAAGAAGTGTCTGTTCATGTCCTTTTCCCACTTTTTAATGGGGTTGTTTGCTTTTTTCCTATAAGATAGTGTTTTTAACCAGCATAACCAGAAACATGGATTGGTTGGTCTGTTTGCTTGTTTTTATTTTTATTTTTATTTTTATTTTTTTGTTGTTGTTGTTGTTGTTTTGAGTTGGAGTCTCACTCAGTCGTCCAGACTGGAGTGCAGTGGTCGCTTCTGGCCACCGCAGCCTCGCCTGCTGGGCTCCCGTGATCCCTCTGCCTCAGCCTTCTGAGTAGCTGGAATTAGAGGCATGCGCTACCATGCCCAGCTGATTTTTTGATTTATTGTAGAGATGAGGTCTCGCTGCTCAGGCGGGTCTCCAATCCGCGGGCTCAGGCAATCCACTCACCTCAGCCTCCCAAAGGCATCGGATTACAGGCTGAGCCACCGAGCCCGGCTCAAACACAATTCTAATCACCACTTCAACACAATTTGTTTACAATTTTAAAACCTACTTTTGCATCTCAAAACTCATTACAAAATTTCCATCCAAGGGTACCGTCCTCACGAGTACTTAACTGCACAAACCATGTAAAATGGTGGATGCAGACCCTAAACTGAGATAACATGTATCTTGTTAGAAAATGTTGTCGATCTCGGTGGCTCAGCCTGTAATCCCACGCCTTTGGGAGGCTGAGGTGAGTGGATTGCCTGAGCCCGGCGGTTCGAGACCCGCCTGGGCAGGCGAGACCTCATCTCTATAATAAA